GGGGGGAAAATACGAAAACAAGCCCCGAATGAGCTCTGAGCGTGTCGGCTCTCTTTCCTCAGCTTCCTTCGCCACCACCATGTACACGAGTAATTGTACAGTGTAATCACATCATGGCTCATCTGAATATTCATAGCCGAGACAAAGCTTTGGAGGAGAAGAAATGTGGGGGAAGGGGAAGGGAGAGAATTCCAATATAAAACAGCATTTCATTTCCAAATGAAGGTGTGCATTCTGCACAAGGAATGGATTTGAAATCCAAATGGTCTGTCTGCACCATTCAAAATCTGGGGGCAGTAGGGTAGCATTGCACACATACCCTCTCCATCCAGAGGAAAAATAAAACAAAACAACAAACAGCTACAGAAAAGCCCCCAGTAGAAGTGATATTTGAAGAGTCGCCAACAGTGGCTAACCAGCTGCTGTTTTACCAGGAATGAAATAGTCCATTGAGGGAGCTTTAGAAAGACCCCAATTAATATGTTGTGCATGTATAAGATCTACAAAGAGCCCACTGTATTCCTCTCTCCCCCCCCAACCACCACCTTCATTCCCTGGCCAGTGCCACTGGAGACTGATCTTAGCTACCAAATAATTGATTAATCACTTCACCAGTGACAACACTCCTCTCCAAAAAGCAAGCAAGAAAAAAAGAAATAACAAACATAAAGAGGCAACTGTTCGCTAATTAGGGTGTAAATTGCCGCTGGTTCCATCCCTCTCTTTACCTTAATAAAACAAAGAGAGAGCAAGAGAGAGAGAAATATAATTTCCATGTTAATGTGTATGTTGTCTTCATTGTTTTACTTTTACTGTGTATATCCTTTATTAATATTAACCAAATAGGGTAGTGGTGTTTGTCAAAGCTGTGGCTGGCTCTGCCAGTGCACTCCCCAAAGAGATCCTATTTCCATACCACTGGAGTTTATATTCCTTTAAATGTCTAGCGCAGCACCATTTCCCTCTTTTTAATACACCACTCTGCTGGAATTAGAAGAATCCAAGGTTATATCCAACATCAAAGGTTTCCCAGTCATCATGATTTTAGTAAAAGTGAAGACAGCTCATGGAACGAGTCCCTGGCTTTTGAAGATAGGCATCAGAGGGACCTTCCTCTCTCTCCCCCCACAACTTTGTACCTCTCCTGGCTCTGAATGTCCCACGCTAACGCGGTTTAATGATATGCAAATGAAATATGCATAAAACCATTCTACTGTATGATGATTAAACACTGGAGACATTAACAGCCGACGCTTCACTGTTTGACTGTAATAATCTTTCCTGAACATCCAGTTTGATTGCGGAGTTATGGAAACCCATAGCAGTTGGCAGAGAGAAAGCGAAGGAAGGAGAGATGCAGGGACGCATCACCCATCTCTGCGTTTATCCCACTCCAGGAGACGTTCCCCCTTTGTACTGCATTCCTAGTGCTGTCTTTTGTAATCCACCCATGCGGTCGCACCAGGGCGATTAACGGGAAAAAACCTCTTTTCTCTTAATGTTTCAAAGCTCATTAGCCAAACGATTATTCCTCATTAACAGCGAAAGCTCATTCATTAAAAGGAAAAATACGCCCAAAAGATGCCAGCGCTGTTAATCCTGAGCCCTGTAGCTGGGCTGTAAATCCCGTGCTAGTATTTTCCATTCAAAAGGGACGCGCGCCAATCCACATTTTTTTTTTTAAAAAAAAAAGGAAAAGAAAACAGTTTGTATGTTTTGTAAAATCCGCAAGAGAGGCAATCAATATTCCCATTGTATGACTTTATTTTTGTCTCTCCCTTTTGATTCCAGCGCCCATCCCTGGCTCAGCGCCCGGTGCCAACAGAACACCTTTCAGGATCCACAACAGCGCAGATAACGTAAGTAGCCAGCTATCCCTGAAACCCGCTTCCAAAACCCCAAACCCCACAAAGTGAGTGTGGATTTCCTCCTTCTCACCCCTCCAGTGTGCCACCCGGCTTCACAAGTAGCACCTTCCAAATCTCGCCGGCTTCAAGTTTGTGCATGTCTGTGTGGCATCCCTCCTCCTCCTTCACTCCCATAGTGGATCTTGTAAAGGGCTTCAGATCGGCCCCATTCATCTCCCTGGTGATAGCAGTGAATGTAGATAAATCTCTGCCTGCCTGCTTGCTGCTGGAGTATGATTTTTATTTTGTCTTCTGTGTATACCTGGGTCAAAAAATGGGATGTACATGCACATGCACACTCATGTGTGTGGGTGTGTGTCTCATATACACACACACACACGTGTGTGTGTAGAGAGAAATAAATACACACGTGTGTATACATAAACATACACGTACCTCACATACATACACATCTATGTGCTTGAAAATGTCTGAGGCAGTGTGTGCATATATATGTGTGTGTGTGTGTGTGTGTGTGTGTGTGTATATACACAGATAAGCATCTCTAGCTATATCTATATAAACATTCCCCCTCCTCCCAGCAGAGGCTGTGTGCATCTATGATCCTGCCCTATAAGAGTTGTATTCCAGGCTTCCTTCGGAATTCTGTTTGGAGACCTTTATGCTCCCTTCTCTGTCTCTCCCGAGCTGCAGAATTGGCACCTTTCCCTGAGGTTCTCCGAATGGCAAGTGGCATCGGCTGTAGCCTGCATTCTTGCAGCTTCCTGTGGCATTTCTCTCTCGATGTCGGCAACTCCCTTTTGTTGGTTGTTGACTGGGCTGGGGGTTTTTTGTTTTATTGTTTTGGTTTTTTCTTTAGTTAATTTATAAATGAACCAAATGTCAAACAAGCCAACAGCTTGCAAAAAAAAAAAAAAAAAAAACCCCGCACAAGCGCCTTCTGCTGCGACAGATGCCCAGATTGCCCCTGGCACGGAGGATGGGCACAAGGGGTTTGTTGTTGTGGTTTCTCTTTTGCTGTTTTTGTTGTTCCCTTTAAAAATAAAGACTCCAGGATGCCGGCCTCGGCTTGGAACGCAGCGGTGTCATGGCGGAGACGACGGCCTTTGTTTCACAGGGTGTGAAAGCATCCCTTATGCTGGCTCCACTGCGGCAGAATGACGTGTACAGGGGGGAAAAGTGCTGAAAGTCAGATTTGTGCCTCGTCGGTGGGGGAGTCCCCCAGATCCCCAGTAGCTGAGTCCCTGTGTCCGAGGACGGGCTTGCAATGGAAGAACCTAGTCTGTAATCCTGGCACTTGCGCCTTCGGTTGCTGCTTGCTGTTTGCTCCTGGGGGTCTGGATAATCTCCCTTAGCTTTACCGCACTGTCTGGCCCGCATACAGGGCCCCTGTAACATATACCCGCTGCTGTTATCACACGAAACTGTGGCGTTGCCACTGAATGGATGGCACTGTGCCAACTCTTCTGCCATCCGCCCTTGCAGCTTCTTTCCTCCCTCCCTTCCTCCCTCCTCCTCCTCCCCCCATCGACTTGACGTTAATTAACACACGGGTTAATTGATTTTAAAAGCTGAAGAATTACAGTTAACTTTTCCCACAGGGTACAGACGCCAGCCGCTTGGCACAATTCTGCCTTTCACACTGGTGCAGGGGGGCAGAGAAAAGCCCTCAGCAAAACAAGCCACTGCTGAGGAAATATTGTCTGCTTATTGAAGTACAGCTGATGGAAGCCGACGAGCTACAGTCTCATCCTTTGCAATATGTTGCCATTATATTTTCTTATAAGTAATCAAAGCAACTCCTCCTCCTCTCCCTCCGTCACCCGCCCCCTTTTAAAAATGAAAGCGCTGCGGAAGTTTGAGTAGGAAAAAAATGGCTTATTACAATAAACAAAAAAAAACCAACCCATCTTTGCTTTATTTAATTAAATAGTTATGAAGGAGAGGGCTCCCCACCCCAAGCACACTGAAACGATGGGGTAGGCAGTTTGAATATTGCTGCCTTTTATACATTGGTCCTGTAGCCCCGTATTTTTTGTCTCCCTAATTGGCTCAGATGTGTTGCTAGTGGTGAAGAATCTCAACCAGGGGGAAAGTTGGCTCGTTGTAATTAAGAACAAAATTTACCATGTGAGAGCTTTGTTTTTTGATTTCTCTCTCCTTCACCCCCAATCTCTGCTGCAAATGAGGGCAAATTACAGTGCAGATGGGAGGAGACATGGCAATGCTTGGAACTTGCTGCTTTCACTTTTTTATGCTTTCGTTTTATTTCATTTTGTTTTTTAAAAGCATGAAGCAAGTGAAGCGACAAGAGGAATCCATTATGCAAATCATGTCACATTTGCATAATGTCTCATGACTGGAATATGCAAATGGGCTGTATAATTTATGAGTGCCAGTGTCTGTCTAAAAGTGTTTCCCATAATTTAAAAAAAGTGAGCCTGTGAGACATGGGGAAGGCGGCTTGGCTTGCTGCCCTACCAGGGAAGCTCTGAGCTTTCTCCTCAAAGTGCTCCCTGGTAGCAGCAGCAGAAATTAAACTTCCAAATGCTCATTAACCCATCAGAGGCAAAGACCCCTTTCGCTCTCTGTCTCTCCTCACCCTTTCTTTTCTGTCCCTCCCTCCAAGTGCACCCACCCCCACTTCTAACTTCTCCACAAACCACATGACTTATACATAGGATTTCACGACCCATTGGAAAAGAGAGACGGTTTCTGGGCAAGCTTGCTGTTTGCTTGCTTCCTTGTTTGTTTGTTTGAATCAGGATGACTCGGAGACAGTGGATGAGAAGAAGAGTCTGCTCCTTCCAGCTGTGTCTTTGAGACAGACTGGCTTTGAAGATGCAGTGTGTATCAGGGAACAGCATTTAAAGTTTCTGTACATGGCAGGCATTGTGGCATGTGTCAGTGAGATTGCTCGATGTTTGAAATGCATTGTGTCTAACTCATGATTTCAGTAAGGGATCTGTGTCCGACTTCTTGAAGGGCTATGAAGGTCGATCTAGTGATGGCACTACCCAGCAAGAGCGAGTTCATGGCTGGAGCTGGCGAGCTCCAGTTCCAGCCATAAGAAAGTCTTTGAAATGCTCTGAAAATGCAGGACTGGTATCAAGACTCTTTATGCCCTTTACTTTTTACCCAGGACTTGTGAGAGTCCTGTTTGAGCCTAGAGTGACTGCAGGGCTTGGGATTACAGTAAATAACAGAGCGCCTAGATACTTTCCAGTGGTGCAATGGCACCCACATGCTACATGGATGCCTGCCTGAGAAAGAGCTAGAACAAGAGTAAGTAATTATTGATAACGATATTTGGGAAGGCGGATTTTCAATTTTGACTGTGCTGTACAGATATGGGGAGGTCGTTTTGATCCCAAAGTGAACTCAGTGGTTTGGAGTTGTCTCTTTAAACATGTTACAGTCTGTGGATGTCATTGAACTCGTAGTACTGGCATTCTGGGAGTGAGTGCAGTGCTTGGGGTGAGTGTGTGGCAGTGGTTGTCAGTTTTGAGTTGAAAAGGCCCCATTCGGTTATGAAGCTGTTTTCTGAGTAGGAGAGAAGGGTCAAAAACTTCTCACAGGAATCTCAATTTTCATTTAAAAATGAAGCAAGTTTCTAATCTTTCTGGTTTCAAAGAAAAGTTTCTGAATGTGAATGAAGCTGCCTTAATTGATGAACGTATAATTAATGACAGCTTTCATATGAAGGCATAAATTCATACTTTTAATATAATTCTGTATGTAAAGTTACCATATTTATATGCACTGTAAGTGTTGGCTTTGGCCATACATGGCATAATGAGCTTTTAAAATATTAACAAATTATTGTGTGTTACCATGTTTTTGTGTGTGTGGCTAAAACAGCACAATGGATTTCAGGACATGGGCACAACATAATTTTGAGGTGTGAGGTCACAAGAAGAAAAAGTAGGTGTGTTTTGAATCTTGGAAGGGAAGGTGAGAGTTTTTGAGGAACCTGTGAGAAAGCAGTGACAACCTTACACATCTAGACTTCAGAAGGTTTTTTTGTTTGTTTGTTTGTTTTCCCCAAATACCTGGAAGTTTGCTGCCTTCTTCCTGTTCTGAGAAGAGAGGTGTCTGCCGAGCAGCCCCTGCGGTGCATCAGACCACACAGTTCCTCACCGGGTAGAGCTCAGGCTAACTTCGAATGTGCCTACAGGAGAGGACTGAGCCTATGTATAGGGAGGATATGTGACCTACACCATGAGCACTTGGACAAAGAGAATGGGGGCATCCTAGCAAGTCACAGGGCATCAGCACCATTGGGAGTCAGGAGTGGAGAAGCAGCAGCTGGCCAGAGAGGATGGGAAGGGAATGGAGAACAATGATGCTGTAGCACTGGAGAGTGAGGGAAAAGCTGGTCTCCTGAGGAACAGTGAGGGAAGAAAGGCTTCCTGAGCAGGGTGTGGAGCGGTAGCACAATGGTAGCGTTGTCCTTCTGATGCTAGCAGTGATGAGAATCCCTTCGGGGTATGGCTGATGTTGAGACGATGGGAGCAAGGGATCTATTGTGTGAGTAAAATGATTGGCAGGCTACCGAGATCGGAATTCTGTCCCTACTTCGTGGGAGTTGTCTGTCTGTCTGTCTTTCGCTCTTTGCAGGGCACTGGCTCAACTCGCTGCTGCTCTCTGGCTGTCAGTATCAGCTGTCCAGTCATTTCTTAGATAAGCAAGAGCACAAATGAAATATTGATAAGTTTTAAACTAAATGAAGCAAAATTATTGTTCTTTCCTGGGATGCTGTGTATACTTCTGGGACCCTGCTCTTCCTGCTTTGCTCTCTTCTGACCTACACAACTCGTTCTGGACACCTTCAGTGCCACCCCTGAGTAGCCTAGAGGGTTGTGGAGGGGGCCTGAGGGGCTCTCCTCCCCTCTGCAGCCCACTGGCGTGGGGATAACAGGCTCCATTTTAGACTTTTAGCCTCTGTCATTTCACTGCTTTGGGGCTTTACTAACTCCAGCTATGGTCTGTGGATCCGCAGAAGGCAACATGCTGAGAACCATATAGTGTGACACTGGGGAGGTTGTAGAGCAGAACTGGCCCATCAAGGGATCTTTACCTTACCAAGGGGTTCACAGAATGAACAAACTGCAGAACCACTGGCTTAAAACATGGCTTTGGGTTAGTTTCCCCTCTGACTGGAAGCATACCTGCTTCTCTGGACAACTAGACTGGTATAAAATAGGGTGCTGGAAAGTATTGGTAAAGCTTCTTTCACAAAGCTCTGCTGATTCGCCTCAGTCCTGCTCTGCAGCAACTCCCTGTATTCGGATCCTGGAGCCCCTCTCCCCTGCATTTCTGCCAGGCCACCCCCATCCTAACCTGGAGCTCCTGCTGCTATTCCTGTCCCACACCCCAGTTCTGCTAATGCAGCCAGTGTCCAGGCCTGCAGTGCCCTTTACTTTCGTTAGTGGCAGACATCTGCTGAGCCAGAAATTGCCATGTATGACAGCTTCTGGAGTAGCAAGGTATTATGAAGATGTCCGTGAATCTGAATTGTGACAGAGGCATTGGTGTTTCCTGACTGATGAATTTTTCTTACGTGTTTGCTCCCAGTCAGGCTAGTGGCAGAAGCCGAGGGCATCTTAGGAGAGCTAATCTTTAGGGCGCTGCCCCTCAGAATACTGAGGGTGCTTTTCAAATCTTTGTGAAAAAGTAACAACTGCCAAAGAATGATGTTTCCCTCTTTCATGAACTTGTGTGTCCTCTACATTCTCTTTGGGTAGAACCTGAGGAAACTCTGTTCCCATGTAAGTGGTGACTGTCGGTATTTCTGTAAAACAAAACCCGCACATATTCTCCATTTTGTCCCCAGCTACCATTTTTTAGACTGATTTTCGAAAGAGTAACCTGTGCCTTGCACTTAGGAACATCCTAGGTTTAAGGACTGAAGTATCTATTCCTGTGCCAAAGATTTTCTAGCCCTTGCAAGCTGTGAAATATAAGACCTTAAAATGGGTAAACAGAGTGGTGATAGTCTGGCCTGGAGATGGGGTGCTCACCTGAGATGGATATGTTTGGCAAAGGGGTACAGTCTTCGAGTCACCTGCTCAGTGTAGGTGGAAAATGCATTTCTGCCCACTGATAACATTTGAGTGTGCCTTTTTTCAGGACCCTGAGGCAATGCATTTGACAACTGAGGGGGAGTTTTCTGCTTGTTTCAGTTCATGGAAGAGCTTCTGCCTTCCAACTAGCATTGTCTTGATCTCACCAAGTTACGCTTGAGTCAGCAGTTTGCTTCTTGAAGTCACTGGGTGGCCTTGCTGACAGTACCATCCACTCCATACAAGGAGTTGTACAGCAGGGTGTCATACAGTGAATGTTTGAGCCCATGGCATTGTATGTTCTCCCTGAGTGGTCGGTCAGAGCTGTTGAATAGGAGGGGGAATAAAACTGAGCCTGGTGGGATTTGGCACATTGAAGCTTTTGGGGAGCAAGAATAATTTCTCACGATAACTCTCTGGTATCTGCCCCAGGGGAATTCCTGATACCAGCTCAGTGCACCTCCCCTGATCCCTGCCGCATTATGTAGGTGGGCCTGCTATTCTTTATGGCCAGTTGTGCTGAAAGTCACTGATAAATGCAGCAGGATCAGCAAGTCTGTCTGTCTAATCTAAACGAACTGCCCATACCAACCTGCTCTTTGAAGTTCGCCACTATCCCCACATTGCCCAGATGCCTCAGATTTAAACCTCATCTCCTCACCTCTAAGGCCCAGCCTACATCCAAGTACACACTGGAGACAACCGGCTTGAAACATTTCACATTTTGAGAACGAGGGTGTTTTAGAAGGAGGGAGGCTTAGCAGAAATGTCCAGCTTTACCAGCAGGACAAGGTTGTAGCAGCATGGGCACGGGCCCAGGCAAAGTTGTTGCCAGTGTGCCTGCTCCAAAAATAATTGTGCAATCTCTGTTTAAAAAAAAAAAAAGCACATCCTGCTTCTCTTTTTCATTCACTGCCCAAACCGTGCAAGCAGTGTCGGTCCCTGTGAATGATACAGACCCGTGGAGTATTCCTCTTTGATGATCCATGGCATGACCCTGGCTGGAGAGTCAAATAAAAGACATTCAGTCAGAATCCTGACACTCAGGGGAGCCAGCCTGAGGTCACTCCAGCTTCCTGAGCTCTCCCAGGCAGCCACTTGGAGTCGTCGTCATGCTCTCAGTCACTGTCATGCAGCGATTCAAAGTCCTGCCTCTCTGAGCTGAGACACTGCTCTGGTCTCTCTCTCCTTATGGGCATTACTAATTTTAAAATACTTTTGTCATGTTATATCATGACAAACAAACCAGGTGGTAGATGCTGTGTGTGAAATTGGGATTGGACTAACAGCACATCTGCTCTAATAGTAAGCACAGGTGGTTGTGGAGGTGATGCTCTTACATCTGAAGAGCTAGACTGACCCTTTTAAAGAAGTTACCAGTCAGCACTATCTGTAGCCTTGTATGGAACTCGCCACGTGTCCCTAGGATAGGTGGCTTCTTACAGAATTACTGATGGTAATGGAAGAGATCCCATGTCCTGTTGTCCAAGAGCAAAGCATCTGTGGGAGGTATTACGGCAGTCTGGGGACCCCTGGGAGACATCACTGAGAAGTGTCGGGGTGGGGGGCGGGATAGCAGATCTGTGGGAGGCATCACTAAGTTGTAGTAGAGGGTTGGGGCCCACAAGAGGCTTCAGCACTGCAGCCTGTTGGGGGGGATGGCAGACCTATGAGAGGCATTGCTACAGGCTGCCAGGGGGAGAGTGGGCCCGCAGGAGGCATGGTGTATGGCCCATGGGGTGCTGGGGGCAGGCCTGTGGCAATTGTCTCTACAACTCGTTGGTGGGATGGTGGATCAGTGGGAAGTGTTGCCAAGACATTTTTTAAAAATCAGCAGGTCCAGACAACTTGCATCCAAGAGTTTTAAAAGAGCTGGATGAGTTTGCTGGACCATCAGTGTTGATTTTCCATAAAGTCTTGGATCACTGGGGAAACTCCAGAAGACTGAAAGAAAGCTAATGTTGTGCCAATTTTTTAAAAGGGTGGATGGGATGACCCGAGTAATGATAGGCCTGTCAGCCAGAAATTGATCCCAGGCTGATGCAGGACTCAATTAATAAAGAATTAAAAGAGGGTAATATAATAAATGCCAATCAACATGGGTTTATGGAAAATTAATCCTGTCAAACTAACTTGATATCTTTCTTTGATGAGATTACAAGTTTCGTGGATAAAGGGAATAGCATCGAGGAATACACTTAGACTTCTCTTGGTACTGCA